GTGCCAGTAGGCGCCTTCGCGGAGTTTGAAGGCGACCCAGTCGCCGTCGACGGCGTAGTAGACACCTTCGGCCAGCAGGCCATAACGGCTGGCAGGTTCATCGCGTGCTTCTTCGAGTAAGCCATCATAAATATGGCTGTAGTAGCTTTCCCAGAACGCCACGCCCAGCACCGTACGGCCCTTTGTTGCCCAGGCGATAAAGTTGTCCCAGTTGCCCTGTTCGCCAAGACGCAAGGCGCCGCCTTTAGGCGCATCGGGATTAACGTAATTGAAGTGGCTGAAGCCGGGTGGGTACTTCAGTTCGGAGAGGTAGGCGTAACCATGCGCGTAAGGAATGCCGCTGGGGGTCTCCGGTGCCAGATCATAGTTCGCGACCGCGTCATTCAAACTGCTGATGCAGATGCAAACGACAATGGCAAAGCGCAACCAGACAGCCATCAAACGGCGTTCCCCCAAACCCTTCGATGTACTGGACTATATCGATACCGTCGGCAACTATGAAGCGTTTAAACCGGGTAACGACTCGGAAAAACCTTATAGATCTGGCTCAAAACGAAATGTCTTACTAGGGGGTTGTGGGTCTGGTTTGTGTGGTGGACGCGGATGGTGCGGCCGGTGTGGGAAGAATATGGGGTAACGGTCATCGCGTAAATTGACTGTATCCTGCTCGGGCTGTGCGGGTGCCCGTTGTGCGTCGATACGGTTAGCCGCGCGCTGTGCCTCTCTGGCCAGTCGTGCGCGTTCAAGTTCTTCGGCAACGGTCAACATTTGCGTAATGAGTTCGTCAGACGTTAACGGCCGCTGGCTGCTTTGCGGCAGCACGATAGTCTCAGCGGTTGCGTTGTGTATATCGGAAAAATTGGCTTCACCAAATTCCCCGACGCTGCGATAGGCCAGGTTTTCCGAAAAAACAGAGGTGCTGGCCAGCAGCAGCGAAACCGCCCAGAGCATGCGGGCCGGGGCAGCGTTAACCGGTGGGTATTTCAATTTTCACCTCAACACCATCGACGATCTCGCGTATTTGCGTGGGTTCATCGTTGAGCAGCAGACTGCCGCCAATGGTGGTTTTATTATCGTCGGCGTCGGCTTTGAACAGGTCTGGCAACATCGGTTCGCGAGCGCTGATGGCGTCTGAGTGGTCGTCCACTAAATCGTCAATCAACTCGCGCGAAAGATTAACAGGCGCAGGCTCCTCTAGTGCTCCCTCTTCTGGAGCTACCTCTGCTGGAAGCTGACTATCCGCAGGCGCTATGGGCGGCCGCTCGGTTTCAGACGCGTCGCGTCCACAAGCACTCAGCAATAGACTCAAGAGCAGTGCATAGAAAGCGGCGTGTATCGTTTTTACGTAGGACATGTTGTCAACTTAACAATTTTGCAATGAACAACCAATGAACAACCGATGTCAGTCAGCATCTGTTTTTGCATAGTTTTGATCAATTTTCATAGGCAAGGTTCCATCTGCAGATTAGGCTGCACGGCATGAATTTACTCTTTCGTCGAAGCACTGTTGTTGCCTTCATTCTGCTGGCTTTGCCTGCTTTGCTGGCCGCAGTATCGCGGCTGCAGACTCAGCTTGCTGATCCCCTTGGCTGGGCTTGGCTGGGGTTTGCCGTGCTGCTGATCAGCGCCACATTGATAGGGTCTGGTACCAGACGCCTGAGCCGCGCAATAGTGGGTATTCTGGTTGGGTCGGCATTGGCATTGTCGCTGTTGTTTGGCGCTTCGTTTGTCTTCGGCGTCCTCGGCGTGATTGGATGGGTTGCTGTTGTGGTCACCACCTCTGGTGACTTTCTCACACGGGATGCGCGTCGTCCTGAATCGCTGGCAGATTTTTATAGCGCTGCAGTGAAAGCCCGTCGGGTGCGCAACAACCCGGAGCAGCGGGATATTGTGGAGCGGCTGGATCAGCTTGCTGCGGCGTTTGCGCGCTACGAAAGCAAGCGTCACTTACCCTGGGCAAGTTTCCTCGCTCCACCAGAAGGCATCTATCTGCATGGACCGGCGGGGCGGGGCAAGAGTTTTCTGCTCGATGGTATGTACGATATTTCATCATCGGCGGTGAAGCGACGTTTTCATTTTCATGAATTAATGAGTGCGCTGAACGCCCGAGTTAACGCGACGCCGTCGATTTCGTTTGAGCGCGCTGTGCGCTCTCTGACCCCGCGCGCCAGCCTGGTTGTGGTGGATGAAGTCAATGTGCTGGATGTTGCCAGTGCCATCCTGTTCAGCCGGCTGATGCGATTCTGGTGGCAGCGCGGTTGCACGGTGTGTATCAGCTCCAATCAGAGTCCAGAACAGTTATTCCGCAGTGTCTCTTCCAGTCATGCTGAAATCAGCAGGCTGACACATTCAATTCGCGACCACATGCAGGTCATGGCCCTTGATGGGTCCGATGATTATCGGTTGCAGAAACTCTCTGCGGACGATTTGTATCAGTATCCTGAAGACGCTGCGACGTCCGGGCGATTTTTAGACATTGTTGAGCTGCTTGCTGAAAGCCTGCTCAGCGCCGAACCCATAAAGATAGGCGACCGCCTGGTACCGTGTCAGCAACAAGCCCTGGGTGTGGCCTGGTTTGATTTTGCGGATCTCTGCGGAGGGCCACACAGCTACGAAGATTATCTGGCGCTGGCAGCTCGCTTCCCGAATCTGCTGGTCTCCGGCATACCGCAGATCAGCCAGCTGGATCAGGCCAGACGGTTTGCCTGGCTGGTGGAAATTGTATATGACGCAAAAAAACGACTGATCTTAGCGGCGCAGGTACCGCGGGATGATCTTTTTGCAGAGTCTTTGTCCGGCAAAGATCTGGATATCGATTACGTGAAAATTGTCAGCCGTCTGGCGGAAATGCAGTCTTCTGAGTACAACTACTCTCTGGCTTGAAAGGTTGCGGGCATAAAAAAACCGCTGATCAGCTGCTGCCGATCAGCGGTTTCTTAACCCGTCTGTCGAGTTATCGAGCGCTGGCTACTTCCTGAGTCTGCTGATCCATGCCTCGCTCCGCGCGCATCTGCGCTGACTCTTCTTCCGTTAAGAAGCGGAACAGCATGGCGCCGAACAACATTTCTTCCCAGGACTGCTCACCCCAGGTGACCTCAGCACTTGGGTCAGGGTTAGCTTTGTTCTGAGCTGAATTGTCCCACCAGCCTGTTTGCACCAAGGTGGTGCCAGCAGGTATGAATTTTGGCTCTTTGAACTGATAGTCCGTTTGCCAGTTGAAATCATAGTGAGGTACCGACAACAGCATTTCTTCTGTGCCGTCAGGGTATTTCGCGATGAAGTTGGCTGCCTTGCCACGGAAGTGGGCGTGGGGCATCAGGTTAAACAGCAGCGCATCTTTGGGAATGGTGCGTTCAACAGTTTCCATGTGATTGGCCGCATGTGGCGGAATCTTGATTCTTGGGTTTGCGGTAAACACCGAGATGATCGGATGTGTGGGTGGCTCATCGTATACCCAGATGCCCATTTTTGACTCATCCACAGTGGCGCGACCCACCGGGGTGTAATGCATCTGAAACTCAATGGTGGCGTCAGCAGGTAGAAAGGTACCGGTGCCTTCCGGGTATGCCTGGCTGGTAACCCCTGGAGCATAGCCACGCAGGCCACCTTTGCGGTTCAGCTCACCTTTGTATTTACCTTCGGTCATGATGTCGCCGAACGTGGTGATGGTGTGGTGCAATACCGCGCGATCGCCGGGCAGAATTTCCGCGGCATGTACCCAGACATCTTTCCCGATGGGGTTGTCAACCAGGTGATACTGATAGTCCACGACGCCAGTGGCCGGAATTTCCATGGCTGGAATGTCGATAATGTAGTCAGGGTCACCTAACTCTTCTGAGGCGTTCCAGTCTGAGTATGTGTGATCGATGTTGGCCAGCAGATCTTCGCCTTCGCCGCGTGGTGCGCCCGCTTCAATCCAGTGCACCAGGGTTTTAACTTCATCATCGCTCAGTGAACGATCGTTAGCCCATTCGCCGTGTGCCGGGTCAGCGTGCCAGGGTGGCATACGCTGGGTGCGTACAACTTCGCGGATCATCAGAGAAAATCCACGCACCATGTTGTAGTCGGTCATTGCCCAGGGGCCGATGCCATCTTCACGGTGACAGCTGACACAGTTGTCGGCCAGGATGGGCGCAATGTCTTTGCTGTAGGAAATATTCGCGTGGCTTGCACGTGCGGTTTTTTCAGGGAAATTGATCAGGCAGCCGAGTGAATCAGTGCTGGCCAGGGCCACCGGCTCACCGGCAGTCATGTTGGCAATGGCGTCGCGCAGGTAGTGTGCAGAAGCTTCTTTCTTCTGGTTCTCGTAGGTCAGGCGATCATCCAGCGCGCCACGGTAGGCGACTTTCCAGGTCTTCGGGTCGACAACAAATACTTCTCCGGTACGTACCAGATCCAGCGACTCACCAATGATCTGGGTGTCGTCCATCAGGATCGGAATATCATAGCCAAACTCATTGGCTTCTTTGGTGATGCTGGCGCGATTGTCCTGCAGATTTGAGTTGAGCATGAAAAATTTGACCTTCTGGTCAGCAAATTCATCGCGTAGCTCGGCAAATCTTGGCGCTGCGTTGCGTACAATAGGGCAACCATTACCCTGTACCAGGAAAACAACAGCGTCCAGGTTGCTGTGGTAGTACAGTTCATGGGAATCGCCGGTATGTGCCAGCAAGCGGAAGTTTTCGACCCGCTCACCGACTTCGACGGCCCATGCTGAGGTTGCGACACAGGCCGCAACCAGAATTGAAACGATACGAAACATCAGTCTCTCCCACGTTCTCTTAAAAGATATGTCTGTCAAAGTTACCAAACTACTCAACTTAGTCATAGTAATTAGTTAAGCAGAATTGTAAGGCGTTGCCCCCTAGCCACACCGCTGTGGTTATACTGACGCCGCAATACATCTGGGGGAAGGTGGAATGAACGAGTTGGGATATCCGTTGGCCGGGTTAAAGGTACTGGACTTTTCCAGAGTGCTGGCAGGCCCTTTTGCCGGTCGAATGCTGTGTGATCTGGGTGCCGATGTGGTGAAAATTGAGCCGCCAGATGGTGATGTAACGCGCCTGTGGGGCAAAGTGATCGCGGGACTGCCTGGTTATTATCATCAGCAGAACGCCGGTAAACGAAATATCTGTGTTGACCTGCGCGCACCGGGCGCGCGGGAATTGATGCTGGAAATGGCCGCTGAGGCTGACATAGTGATTGAAAATTACCGACCGGATGTGATGGATCGTCTGGGTTTGGGTTACGACGACTTATCAGCTGTGAACCCTGAACTGATCATGCTGTCGATCTCCGGTTTTGGCAGGAACGGTCCGGAAAGTCATCGTGCGGCCTATGCGCCGATTGTGCACGCTGAAACGGGCCTGATGGCGCGTCAGGCACAGCGCTGGGATATCCCATTCTCAGACCTGCCGCTTTCTGTGGCCGACACCAACGCCTCTCTACATGGTCTGGTGGGGCTGCTCGCAGCGGTGATTCAGCGTCACAGCACCGGTCAGGGCCAGCATATTGATATCGCCATGATGGATGCCACGATTGCGACAGATGATCAAACCCACTACGCCATTGAAGCTGCCGGCGGCAGTGGTCCCTTACCCAATGAAACCTGGGAAACCGGTGCCGGTCCGGTGCTTGTATCGGCGGACATCCGCTATTTCTGGAAACAGTTGAGTACGTGCCTGGATGTTGCTGATCCGGCCACTCCGGAGACGCCGTTTAAAGAAAAAATCGCGCTGCGTCGGGCATGTATCAAGGCGTATATGTCACAACTCGACAGCCTGGAAGCGGTCGAGGCGGGCATGGCAAAAATGAACCTGGCCTGGGGCGAAGTCCGCGACCCAACAGACATCGTCAATCAGGTGACGGTGAAACATCGGGGTGTGATCACCCAGGTGGATGATCGGCAAGGCGGTACTCGACCGGTGACCCAGTCACCTTATCGGTTCTCCAAGGCTAAAAGTGGCGTGAGAGGACCCGCACCTTATAGAGGTGAACACAACCATGAGGTGCTTGTGCAGTGGTTGGGGAAAAGCGATCAGGACATCGAGGCGCTGGGCGTGCAGAAAATTCTGCAGGCTGAATGAGACAGCCGCTTGTAACCTCCATCAGCATTGCCACGCTGGGCCTCAGGTGTGCAATGTTCATGTCTTGTTGACCGGTCTTTGCTAAAGTAGCGCGCCAGCAGCATCCCAGAATTAGCAGGTAGGAGACCGGTGTGAGTGACAAGATAACGCTGACCGATTTAGACGCCACCGCCGCATCAGCGGAAGATGGCGCAGAGCAGTTGGAACTGGAAAGTATTCACGACTTTGCCACCAAGTTAACCCTGCCCGGTTCCAAAGACGCGCTGGAACATTACGTCAACTGGCAGATCGCTTTGCGCGCAGGCGGCGCGCCGGACGGTGTGGATTTTGATCCGGATAAAGTGCCTGACTTTGCACCGCTGTCGATTAACCTGGATCTCACAACCGCCTGCAACTATCAATGCGACCACTGCGTCGACCTGGATATTCTCAATACCGGCATTCGTTACGAACACGACAAGCTGATGTCATCTATCGAGCTGATGGCCAAGCGCGGGCTGAAATCTGTGATTGTGATTGGCGGTGGTGAACCCACGCTGTATCCCAAGTTTGCTGAAGCTATTCGTTTCATGAAAGAGCTGAAGCTGCAGGTGGCCATCGTCTCCAACGGCACCGGCAATAAGAAAATTGCTGAAGTGGCGGATTGTATGGACAGCCAGGATTGGGTACGTCTGTCCCTTGATTCCGGCACTGACCCGACTTTCCAGGCGATGCACAATCCGCGCAAAGACTTCAAGTTGGAAGACATCTGCGCAGTTGTACCCAGTATCAAAGCTGCTAACCCGGATCTTACCGTTGGTTTTTCTTATATCGTGACATGGCAGGGTGCGTTCATTAACGATACCAACATTGTTGAAAACCTGCATGAGATCGCGCGCGCAGCCAAGTTGGCAAAAGACAACGAATTCAGCTATATCAGCTTTAAACCCTTCCTGACACGTGATGAATTGAATAATGCTGAAGTGATCGATATCAAGGCACAGGAAAACCTCGCCAACACCATCGAACGGATACAGGCGCAGTTGGAAGAGGCCCTTAAGCTTGAAAGCGACACGTTTAAGGTGCACAGAAGCACGGGTTTAAAAGCCATGTTGCAGGGCAAAACCCAGTCGTTAGCTAAGCAGCCCCGTCAGTGTCACATGCAGTTCTTCCGCCAGGTACTCAGTCCTTTAGGTTTATACAACTGCCCGGTTTACCGTAATCAGGAACACGGGCTGTTGGGTGATAAAAATGCTGTGGCTGATGAACTCAGTTATGAGGTTACCCGTGCAACAACGGCCAGTTTGATCAAGTCGTTTAACGCGACCTCCAACTGTGAAAAAGTGACCTGTCTGTACAACGATGTGAACTGGTGGATTGAACACCTGATCGAAAATCCGGCGGAGCTTGCGAAGCTGAAAACCGACTTTGAGGCGGAGCCGGACTACTTCCTGTAGGCGGCCAGCTCGCGCTGGCAGGCGGCAAATACCATCTTCACGGTGACGTCTTCCATACAGACCTGACGCTCGAGCGGGCAGACTTTCTGGTGGCAGGGACCGCAAGGCACCTGCACTCGGACGATGGTTTCTTTGCCGTGGCTGGTGTCTGTCCAGCGTTCTTCGGTCGGGCCAAATACCGTCACCCGATGAATATCAAACGCACGCGCAAAATGTCTTGGTCCGGTGTCATTGCCCAGCAGCAGATCGCTGCGTGCAATCAGAGATTTCAATTCACCTAATGTTATGCAGGGGTTATCCAGCAACAGATGAGGTTGCTGCATGGCGTTGGCGATAGCCCGCGCCAGGGGCTCTTCGCCAGGCCCCGGACTGATGGCAACCCCAGCGCCAAATTCCTTGACCAGTAAATCAGCCACCTCGGCAAAGCGCTCCGGGGCCCAACATTTTGATGCGCCGAAGTTGGCGCCAGGACACAAGGTGACCAGCGGTTTTGATTGATCCATACCTGCCGCCAACAGCAGTTCATCCAGGTGCTGATCATCTTCTTCCTGGATAACCAGTTGCATCTGATCGCCGGGAGGTTCGCAGCCCAGCGCAGCAGCCAGCACAGCGTAATACTCCACCAGCGGCATCGGTTCGAATGGTCCGGGATTGGGCACTTCTTTTCTGTTGGGGCGCTTGTTAGGAACTCTGATACGGTCGGTTAAAAGCAAGCCTCTGCCGTCGCGATTGAAGCCGACCCGTCTTTTCGCGCCACAGCGAAAAGCCAGCCAGGCGCTGGAAAAAGAGTTGGGCAGCAGCACAGCCAGATCAAAATTTTCCTGCTGCAGTTTTTTAACAAACTCCGCTTTGGCCTTTTTGTGCTCGGCGGTCTTGCCTTTGGTTGGCCAGGTTGCCACCTGCCCAAGCCAGGGGCTGCCCGCAAGCACCGATTGCAGATGTTTGTACATGACAAAGGTAAAGTTGGCCTGGGCAAAGCGTTTGTGCAGACTGGCCAGAAAAGGGGTTGCCATGACCACATCGCCGACCCAGGTTGGCAATACCACAAGAATTTTCTGTGGCTCCGACTCGAACTGCAGAGCAGCTGGTAGATTTGTAATCAATGAGGCTCGCTGATGTTCAGACAAATAGCAGGGGGTAGTATATCCTAGCACCTGCTGCGGCATAGCCCGGATCTTTTGGATAACATGTATGTCAACGTTTGAAAAAATCCACGTCGAACCCAAATCGCTTCTGCCCAAACTTGCAGCGTTGCGCGAGCAGGGCAAAACCATCGTATTTGGTAACGGTTGTTTTGATCTGGTGCACGTCGGTCACATACGCTATATCGAAGCGGCCCGGGAGCTGGGGGATCTGCTGGTGATTGCGGTCAACACCGAAGCCTCTATCCGCGCCAATGTCGGTCGCGAAAAACCGATTAACCCCTGTGAAAAACGGATGGAAGTCATGGCGGCACTGGAAGCTGTGGATTTTGTCATTCCACTGGAAGACGCAACACCTATAGCGCTGCTTGAACTCTTACGTCCAGACATTCAGGCCAAAGGCACAGATTACTCGCTGGACGCCATGCCCGAACGGGAAACGGTAGAGAAAATTGGTGGCCGCATTGCCTTTGTCGGCGATGAGAAGCAGCACAGCTCAACCGAATTGCGACGTATCCTGCGCGAACGTGGCGCGTTGTAAGGTCTACCGTGTCGCGTAGAATTTCTCTGGTACTGGGGAGTGGCGGCGCGCGTGGTCTTGCCCATATCGGCGCAATACAGGCGCTTGAAGCACACGACTATGAAATTGCCTCAATTTCCGGTTCTTCAATGGGCGCTTTGGTCGGCGGGATACATGCTCGCGGTAAGCTGGATGTTTATACACAGTGGGTCCGCGCGCTGACACGTAATGACATTGTGCGCCTGTTGGATGTGGGTTGGGGTCGTTCTGGTGGACTATTCAAAGGCCAGCGCATCATTGAAGTGCTCCGTGAACTGGTAGGTGACGAAGACATCGAGGACCTGCCAATTGGATTTACGGCTGTCGCCACGGACATCAACCGCAAACAGGAAGTGTGGATGAATAAAGGCCCGTTGTTTGCGGCGGTGCGTGCGTCAATTGCTATCCCCATGGTGTTTGAGCCCGTCAGGCGCGGCAGCGCCTTGCTGGTAGACGGTGGCGTCTTGAACCCGTTACCGATTGCGCCAACGCTCACAGACGATACCGCGTTGACTGTTGCCGTAGATGTAAATGGTTTAGATCATAGACCGGTGGTGAGTCGAGTGCGGCCACAAGCAGAGCCGCGCAAAGCAGAACAGGACGAGGAAGCCACCGGTATAAAACACGCGATTGCGGAATTTTTTGAGGAGTGGATGCCGAGCGGGCAGCCAGCTGAACCCGAGCAGAGCATGTTTGCCATTGCTCTGGAGGCAATGGACTCCATGCAGGTCACCATCTCGAGACTCAAAGCATCGGTCTACAATCCGGACATCCTTGTACAGATACCCCGCAATACAGCTCATTTTTTTGAGTATGAACGTGCCGGTGAACTCATTGATCTGGGTTACGAGCGTATGGACAAAGAACTCAGCGAGCTGGAAGCGGATCACTGACCAAAAGATTCCGAGTGAATCTGTCTGGGTGATACGCCTAATTCTTCTAAACCCTGCTGCAGTTCCGTCATGAAAGACGTTGGGCCGCAGATATAAAAATTTGCGTTGAGGTCTGGCAGTTTCTGGCGGAGATCCTCGGCTGTTAAACGTCCCACCAGGTCGGGCTCGTCTTCATTGAGCGGTTGGCTGTACGTCACTATGCTCTTTGTCTGCGCACCTTTTCCAGCGTATCGGGCAACGTCATCTGCCAACGGGTGGTAATGGCTATTTCTGGCCTGGTGAAAAAACCACAGGGGGTGTGAAGGATACTTTTCGGTCACATCAGCGAGCATGCTGATCATGGGGGTGATGCCTACGCCTGCACTGATCAACACCGTCGGTTGTTGATTGTGTTGGTAAAAAAAGTCACCGCTGGGTGGTTGCGCTCTGATGAGGTCTCCTTCTTGAATCCGATCATGCAGATATTGAGAGGCACCGCCGCGCGCTTCTCGTTTTACCGAGATGCGATAGTGCCCGGCCGATGGCGCATCAGACAGTGAGTAGGTTCTGGTTACACGCTCGCCGGTATCTAAAGTGAGTTTGATGGGCAGATGCTGGCCGGCCTGAAAAGCCTGCAGCGGTTGCGTGCTGTTGCTGTGCAGATAGAAAGATGTGACGTCATTACTTTCTTGGATTTTGGACACGATCCTAAGCGGCTGATCTGTGGCGGGTTCATGCCAACGCAAGGCGATAGCTTCGTGGGTATCTACAATGGCGTCGAGGCTGACTTTAATCAATCGCTGTGCTCCGGGTATGGCGGTAACAGCGCTTGAGTCCCAGTCGATTTCAGCTCGACCGCTAACCTGTAACACCCGCCCACTGCCAAAATCAACAAAGGTCATGCCAACGCGAGGGTCTTCCACAAGATTGCCCACCGTATTGAAGTGGTTGTTACCGGAGAAATCCGGCCACACCAAGGTCTGGTCATCTGACACGCTGACAAATCCGGCCTCTCCGCCTCGATGCGAGGCGTCCATGCCAGAGGCTGGATCTTCATTGTTACCTGCAAAACCGCTGGCGATGAAAAAGGTGCTTGCAGCTGCAATCATTTGCATCTGATCACTGCTCAGTACGTCATTGTTTGTGCTGGTTGGATGACTGCGCTGTGTAGGCAGGTACCACTGGCGATGATGGATGTACTGTGGGCAGTTGCCAAAGGCCTGACCAACACGGACGATTATTGAGTCGGTATCCTTTTCTGATACGTAACCGTTCATGCGGTTACGACGAGCGCTGGCAAATTCGATGCCCAGCAGTCCAACCTGTGCACCGGCTGAGATTGCTTCGGCTAATGCATCACCCGGTGTGAGGGTGTTTTTGATCTGCAGCTGCCGCGGATTAGGTGAGCTGACAAATCCTGGTTTGTCTCCTAACAAGCTGATCCACGGTCTGCCTTGAACATCGCGCGCGGCTACAACAATAAAAGGCAGGGCCGTGTAAAACTCGCGATGCTGTTCCGGCATATGGTCCCGCACTACCTGGTGCGCCCAGCTTTCAATGCGCTCGCGCACGCCCATGGCTGTTTGTACCCGCTGCTCGCCTTTGTGGAACGGTGATGCGCTGGCCATGTCTGTCCTCCGTGATGTCTTTGAAGAAGCCTTAACGGCGCCGTTCATGCCGCTGCAGGTTGTATGAATTCCACCCGCAAACCACCGGGAATGGTGTACATACCATGACGTGTGCTGCTGCCGCCCAGGGGTTCAGGCCTGAATTCCACGCCCACGCCCGCATGCTGTTCGAGGCGCGCATGCACCTCGTCGAGATCGTTCACGGTAAGGGCGAAGTGGTGTAAACCCACGTTCTGGTGTCGATCAAAGGCGTTTGCCTGTTCCGGCTTTGGCAATTGCCAGAGGGTAACCATGACGGTGCCATCGGAGAGGAACAGGGCGGGGTAATCAGGTTTGGCGCCGACCTCGGTGAAGTTCAGCGTGTCGATAAAAAACGCCGCGGTAGCGGCTAAGTCGGGCACGCTGAAACCCGCATGATGGATACCTTGGGTCAGTGGGTTTGCATGGATCATTGTCTGTCTCGTTGTCTTCAGTGAATGTGCTGCATACGTTAGTGATGTTCGTAAAGATGATAAATGCTTAGAATATGACTTTATAAATGCAAAAAAGTAATTAATCGTGGACAAGCTTGCCGCTATGCGGGTTTTTGTTGAAATTGCTGAACGGGGCAGCTTGACCGCCGCTGCTGTTGCGCTGGGCAAAGCCCAGCCGACCGTCGTACGCAGCCTTGCGAACCTTGAAAGTACATTGGGCGTGCGTCTGTTGCGTCGTACGACCCGACGCCTGTCATTGACGGAAGCGGGTCACAGCTACCTTGAGCGTGCCCGGCGCATTCTGTCGGATGTTGCTGAAGCGGAAATGGTGCTTTCAGCGAGCGATACAACACCCGTCGGACATCTGCGTATTACAGCGCCAGTCACCTACGGCCAAACCCATGTCAGTCCTTTGTTGTTTAAATTCCTCAAGCGCTACGCCGACATAGATGTCGAACTGCTGTTGTTGGACCGGGTGGTTAATCTGCTGGAGGAAGGCATTGATCTGGCTGTTCGTATTGGTCCGCTTGCTGATTCGTCGATGATTGCCACCCAGGTTGATGATATGCGTCGAGTCATTGTCGCGAGTCCGAAGTGGCTGGATCAGCATGGTGTACCAGAACATCCAACCGCGCTGGCAGAGGTCGCCTGCGTTCGATTTAGTGGTATTTCAACGTTGAATACCTGGCGTTTTGCCAGCAACGGTGAGGAAATTGCAGTCCCGGTACAAGGGCCGCTGGTCACAAATCAGGCCTTGCCTGCAGTTGCGGCGGTGGCCGCAGGGTTAGGTTGTGGGATGTTCCTTGCTTATCAGGTTGCAGATCGAGTGCAACGTGGCGAGTTGGTCATCATCCTAGAAGCTTATGAGCCAGCACCCCAACCGGTTAACCTCGTTTATACCGAAACGCGGCTCATGACCCAGCGATTAAGGGTGCTGCTCGACTTCATGCGTGACAATTTTCGCCAGTCCGAGCTCTCGGATGTGATTTAGTAAAGCAGTAGAATCGCAAAAAAATGCGTGGCACTGCCCGCCAGCACAAACAGGTGCCAGACACCATGAAACCAGTGATAACGATGGTCGAAGATAAAAAAGATAATGCCTGAGGTATAGAAAATGCCACCGGCAACCAGGGTCGCAAAGCCCAGTGGTGGCAGAGCGGCAATGATCGGGTCCAGCGCAAAAACGCACAACCAGCCCATGATCAGATAAATCGCCATTGACGCGATGCGGGTACCTTCCCGTCGCACCGCGTCCAGAACCATGCCAACTATCGCCAGACCCCAGATGGCGCAAAACATCAGCCACGCCTGGGTGCCTTCAAGTGCAACCATAAGGAACGGCGTATAAGTGCCCGCAATCAGCAGATAGATGGCCTGATGATCAAGTACGCGGAATATGCGTTTCGCGCGGCCGCGAAGACTGTGATACAGGGTAGAGACAAGATAAAGCCAGAACAGCGTCAGCCCGTAGATGCTGAAGCTGATGATTTTATAGAGGTTACCTTCGTTGGCAGCCATGCTGATCAGCACCACAGCACCCATCAACGCAAGCGCTGCACCTGCCAGGTGGGTAATGCTGCTGAACCGTTCGCCTTCATACATTTGTTTAGTTCTCGCAGCGCTATCCGTCAGATAGCCTTGTTTATTCTCCAGAGATACGGCTAGATGCTCAAACGAGGCAGAGGGGTAAGCGTCATTAAAGCTACACAGACAGGTATTTTCTTAGGTTTATTGCTGCTCTTTTCAGCCTGTACGTCTGAGCCTGGAGACGCCGACCCACCCATGAATAACGCAATTGAAGCACGAAGTCCTGCCGGCGTCTTGTGGCAGGTTGAAGATATCGATGGCGGCGGGATCATTGACAGCTCGCACATGACGCTGCAGATAGCTGATGACACGGGCATCAGCGGATCCACCGGCTGTAACCGGTATTTTGGAGCTGTGGTCATTGCAGGGTCTGCTTTTGAGGCGGATGCTATCGGCACTACGCGCATGGCCTGTGCGCCTGCGCTGATGCAGCAGGAACAGCGTTTTGTGCAGGCGTTACAAGCAGTGCGCAGATTTGAGCTGAGCGGTGACTTCCTGTTGCTGTACGATGAAAGTCAGGTATTGCGCCTGCGGCTGATAGCGACAGATGAACCTGGCCCAACCACAGCGCCTGGCTGAACCAACTGCATCCAGATCAAACCCCGTTTACTCAAAAATCCCGGTGAGATATTGTGAAAAGCGGGATCAGCGCCTTGCGGATCGTGATCGCAGGAACAGATGAGAACAAAAGCGAAAGGACAAGACCATGTTAAAACGAGTATTACTGCCAGGGTTACTCGTCGTTGTGCTACTGCCATTGGCAGCTCACGCCGATAAGCTCACAGAGATTATCCAGAAAGATCTCACCACGCTGGGTTACGAGCCGGGTAACACCAAAGGGGAGATGACCACCGCTACCGCGATTGCGATATCAAAATTTCAGGCAGACAATGGCTTGGAAGTGACTGGTGAGCCCAGTCCGCAGCTGGCAGGGGTGGTTAAATCGCGACTAAAAGACGGTCCAGCTCCGGCTGGTTCTGGTGCCGTTGCCAAAGCAGCACCCGCATCGGTTCCGACAAATGATCCTGCTGCATTGCAGGCCGCACAGCAGGCTTGTCTGCAACAGAAAGTTGCCGACGCACAGGCATCGGAGAAGAAAAAACGTGGTTTTGGCAGTCTGATGCGGGCCGTGTCACGTACAGCCTCGCGGCTTGGCAGTGAGCTGGCTGGCGATATCGCGCGAACTTCTCGGGACATTTACGACGTTAACGCAACTGCAAACGACCTTGATTCAGCGGCAAAAGACCTTGGGCTGACGCCAGAAGACGTTGAAGCTTGCCGTAACCCCTGATCTGGGTCTTCCAACAGACAGACTAACTGAGGTGTCGCGATGCCCAATTTCCATCTAGTCATAAACCGAAGCGTTAAATCTGCGTGGCTTGCTGTCAGCACAGCCGGCCTGTTAATGACCGCCTCGTTTTCCCTGCATGCACAGGATAATTTCCGGGCGCTGCTGGTTTCCGGTATCCAGACAGATTATGGCGATGTGGTCACTCAAGGTGGCCCGCTGGGGCAATTCGGTGTCGAAGATCTTTGCCGCAACAGTGACACTCTGGGTTGGGCAATGGGCAGTATTGTTGATGAAGTGCAGCGTAGTATGGTCAATGCAGGCTCGCCCATAACACTGGATGATATTCAGCGTATGCCGGGTGCACCAACTCGACCTGGTATTGAAGAAGGATTGCGCACGGCACGAGACAGTTTATGCCGTGGTGAGCCGGCGCAGTCCGTGCAGCCGTTTGTTATTGCCTATTCGTCCTGCCGTATGGCCATGGTCACGCCACGAAACGCCATGGATATGCATCTGCCTCCAGGGCAGGCCCAGGCAACCATGTCTATGGCTGATTTTGCCGAACGTCAGGTTATCTATGTGGATCTGAAGCGTGATCTGAATGCGGCAGCTGGCGTGTTGGGGTCTGGATGGACAAACAGTGTGCAAATGACCGGGGCCACCGACGGTGGTGAGCGTATTGGCTATGACACAACGCGCTACAACTTCGAATATTCTGGTAGCCCGGGTGGAGGTGGTGGCATCGGAGGCCTGCTTGGTAATTCCATATCGGTTTCAAATAGCGGTCAGATCTGGGTGTCTGACGACGTCCCGGGCGTGGGCATAGTGCAATCCTTCTATGAAAATCTGACTAACGAAATTAGTCGCGATGAGGCGTCAACCGGTATCTTCAGCGGCATGATCGAGAATATGGGTGGCATGTTGCGTGAAGGCTTACCCCTGGAAATGGACAGCACCGTAAGTTCCACAATTATGGGGCGCACATCGGTGAGTGGGCGTTCGCATATGCTGGTCACCGGTATCGAGGAGGTGAACATTAATCCCCAGTGGTGTTCGCAAAGTCTTATGCCGCCGGATTACCCGGTTATGGACATCAATCAACAGATTCAACAGAGCATGCAGGATGCCGGCGTTGATGCTGCTGAGTTAAACGAAGCCATGCAGGAATTTAATCGCGCCATGCAGCAGATGACGCCGGAGCAGCGCGAGATGATGGAGCGTATGGGTATGGGCAGCATGATGGAGCAGGCCACAGGTGGTGCGGTAGCTTTACCCGCCCCTTCCGCGGCACCGACTCAAGCTGCACCCAGTGCATCGGGACTGTCTGCGGCTTTGCGTGCAGATAATCCAACTGAGACGACGCAGAATTACCTCCAGGCCCTGGGTTATGAAACAGGTAACGCCAGCGGTGAGCTATCCATCGAAACCACCATTGCAATCTCACAATATCAGGCCGAGAACGGACTGGAAGTTACCGGCGAGGTCAGTACCCAGCTTGTAGAGCGACTGGCAGCGGATGTGGATCGATTGTGACAATCATCTGTCACGGGGTGACAGATGATCCTTTTAGCCGCTGGGGTCCTTCATGCTGCGTTCCCAGAAATGAGCGACGATATAAAACTGCCATCCTAACAGGCCGTTGATTGCGAGGATTAATATCAACGCGAACACGCCTAGATTGCCGCTCAGCGTCAGATAAACACCAACCAGCACCAACACACCTACTACTGCAATCTGTGAGTAGAAGTCTTTCACTGTGGCCGGTGCCAGATCTGCAAAAAAGGCCTCATTGTCTTTGTCTTGCCGCGCCAGTTTCATACTTGTGTGGCCGACTCTGTTCATCATGGCAAACGTCAGTGCGAAGAGCAGAAACCAGATACCCAGTTCATCAGGTTCCAAATTGGCGATGAGCATAAATTCAACAAGACCGATAAAAAACGGGTAGACCAGATCACTGATTACCGGGATGCGACTGAATCGCATGACGTTGCTGGCGTAAACAACCCAAATCAGCACGATACCCATGAAGGTGGCAAGCACCTGTCCCCAAGCCAGTGCCGAGTACCACGTGAGTTCAAGCAGATACTGAGATTCAGTGATATGGGACCAGAGCAATTCCAGTGCCACAGCTTGCACAATGCTCAGCATGGTCAGTAGTACTGATGGAAAGTGCTGCTTTGCACGACTACGCATATTGTTCACAGTGGTGCTCCGAGCAGATTTGGAATGCCAGTCTAATCTTTCGATGGGGCCCTAAACAGGCCCTTGCGGACAGGCTTGGAAACAAAAAGCTAAGAAATTGCATTCTCTTCGATTGATTTAGGTTTTTACCCCCCTCTATCTCTTTGGTTTCCTGAAACTGGAGAGAATGTTGGCTCGATTGTTTTTTAGTGCGTTGCTGGTGCTGCTGGCAACCTCAGCGCAGGGTGACACCCGCCAGGCTGCAGTGGCGGAGAAATTCAGCGAATTTCGTGGTCAGGTGGTATTGGTGGATTTCTGGGCGTCATGGTGTGGCCCCTGCCGCCGTTCCTTCCCGTGGATGAACGCCATGCAGGAAAAATATGGTGCTGACGGGTTCCGCGTGATTGCTGTGAATGTTGACAAAGAGCGTGCAGCAGCCAATCAGTTTCTGGATAAGTATCCTGCTGAGTTCACCGTCTGGTATGACCCGGAAGGCGATCTCGCACGAACTTTCAACGTTTCTACTATGCCGACCTCTTTCATTCTGGACGTCAGCGGCCAGGTGCGCAGCGCGCATCGCGGTTTTCTGAACAGCGATAGAGATGATTACGAATCTGCCATCGCGCAGATCCTTTCTGACAACAACAAACGCAGGAGCTCCGAGTCGTGAGAAAACCTTTTTATCTGATTCTGCTGTCTGGATCGACACTGCTTACGGGTGGTTGCGCAGTAGATGGCGTGCAGGCCTGGGAGCGCCAGGATCTGGCTAAACGCGAAATGTCGATCATTAACGAACCGCTGGAAGCCGCCACTGATGATCACATTTACTTCAGTAAAGAAGCCTCCAGCGGTGGCCAATCCTTTGGTGGCGGAGGCTGCGGATGCAACTGAAAAACAAAAATAAAAAGGCCATTTCGATTGCCCTGGCCGCGGCGACATCCAGCTTGCTGGCAAACGCCGCAGCGGGTGAAGAGAACGATGTTGGCTGGGAAATTGATACGTCCGTGCTGTACTACGGTGAACAGGATGATCGTGTTGAAGACACCAGTCTTGCTCTGCGTATCGCACGAAAATTTGAAGACGGACGAGCTCTGGTTGCGGGTTTAAGCACCGACTCTCTGACGGGTGCTTCGCCGACAGGTGCGGTGCCGCTTGGCGAACCGCAGACGTTTACGCGTCCATCGGCCCGCGGCCAGTATGTGACTCAACCGGGTGAAATCCCCCTCGATGACAGTTTTAAAGACAGTCGTGTGGCCGGCTATGTGAGCTGGACCCAACCGTTTGGCGAGAACTGGACAGCTAACGCTGGTGTATCTTTCTCTACCGAATACGACTACGAGCACCTGGGTTTTAACGCGTCCCTGGCTCGGGATTTCAACAACAGAAACACCACGGTTGCGGCGGGCTTTGCCTATGCCCAGGATGAACTGGATCCTGAAGGCGGAGCGCCCATACCCTTAAGTGAAATGCGCGGTATCGGCGATACATCTAATAAACTCAGTGGCACCCAGGATAAAACCGTCACGGATCTGTTGATTGGCGTTACACAGATATTGAACGAGCGCATGTTGCTGCAGGTGAATTATTCGTTCAGCCAGTCGGACGACTATCACAACGACCCGTTCAAGTTCTTAACCGTTCTGGATGCCAGCGGTGCACCGGTGCCGGGTCCGGATGGTCTGTACAGCTACCGATTCGAAAACCGGCCTGATGAGCGTACAAAACACAGCCTTTTCACCAAATTGAAGACCTATATTGGTGGCGGTGCGTTGGATACGTCTTATCGGTTCATGACGGATGATTGGGGTATCAATTCGCATACGCTGGACATGCGTTATCGGTTTAATATTTCAGACCGAAATTACATAGAACCCCATGTGCGCTTTTATCAGCAGAGTGAGGCGGATTTTTATCAGGCTAATCTTATTGCTGGAGACACAGTGCCCAATGAAGCGTCAGCCGACTACAGGCTGGCTGAATTCACCGGCACAACCTTTGGCGTTAAAGTGGGCCACAAGTTCAACAACGGCAACGAAGCCTCTGCGCGACTGGAGTGGTACAACCAGGACGGTACGGCCAAGCTGGCTGGTGTAGCCGGTGGTGCTAACGTATTCCCCGAGTTGGATGCGGTTATCTTCCAGGTCAGCTACCGGTTTCATCTCTAGCGGCTGTTGAGAAGTGTTTTGCCTGTTGATGCCAGTATAGTGAAAGCTGCGCCCGAGCCTTTGTCGTTCGGGTCGCGGCAGACCACCATCACGCCTAAAAACGGCTACTTTGTCGGCGAGTTTTTTGCCATGGGTTGTCCCTGTCAGGTGCTCATGGAAACGGATGATGTGCAGCTCGCGGAAGGTCTTCTGGCGAAAGTCAGAGATGAAGCCTGGCGCATTGAAGCGCGTTGGAGCAGGTACCTGTCCAGTAGTCTGGTACAACAAATTAATCAGGCGCCGGACCAGGTGCATGTGTTGGATGCTGAAACGGCTTCACTGATGGACTACTGTCATCAGCTCTGGCAACTCAGCGAGGGTGCTTTTGATATCACCAGCGGTGTCCTGCGGCAGGTCTGGACCTTTGATGGCGGAGACAGTGTGCCGTCGCAGTCCAAGGTGGAAGACATACTGCAGTACGTTGGCTGGCACAAAGCTTCGTGGCAATCTCCCAATTTGCGCCTGTTACCTGATATGCAGATTGACCTTGGCGGCGTGGGCAAGGAATACGCGGTTGATCTGTGTGCGACACGTCTGCGTCAGCACAGTGACATCAGTTGTCTGGTGAACTTTGGTGGTGATTGTGCCGTCAGCAGAGCTCGCAAGCGCGCGCCGGGATGGGACGTTGGTATTGAGTCGACGGCTGCTCTGGGCGAGGCGGGTACGCGGGTGTTGTTGCAGGAGGGCGCGCTTGCCACCAGCGGCAATTCGCACCGCTTTGTCTGGTATAACGGTGAGCGGCTCAGTCACATTCTTGATGCGCGCACCGGTTGGCCGGTTCCGCAGGCGCCACGATCAGTCACGGTGCAGGCCAACACCTGTCTTGAAGCGGGTATGTTTGCAACGTTGGCGTGTTTGCATGGCGGCTCAGCGCAAGAGTTTCTTGAACAAGGTGATGTCAGGTACTGGCTGCAGGCGTGACCCTGCAGACGGGCTTAGTCGCCCATGTGTTTTGTCAGAAACTGATCCAACGCTTGCAGGTATTCCAGGCGATGTGCCTGCAGACTGAAGAAGTGATCTCCATTGGCCTGCTCGATGTACTGATGTTCAACGCCTGCTTCGACTAACTTTTCTACTAAGTTCCGAGACTGCTCGATCATCACAGATCTGTCCACGTCGCCGTGCACCAGAAGCAGAGGCAGTTGCATCTTGTCTACGTTTTCAATCGGTGAGTTCTGCAATAGCGCTTCGCCTCGTGGCAAACGCGCCGTGGACAGCCTGCCGAATTGAAAGTTGTACCAGCGGCTGCGCAGGTCTTCCAGGTCAGATACCCCTGCAAATGATATGGCACATTGGAATTTCTCGGGTGTTTTATAAGCCGCAACAAGGGCGACGTAGCCGCCGTAACTACCGCCATGGATACATACCTTGTCCGGGTTGGCCAGGTTGTTTTTGATCATCCAATCGAGACCATCGATGATATCATTCTGCATGGTCCCGCCCCACTGTTCGAAGCCGGCTGCGGTGTAAGCATCTCCGTAACCGGTGCTACCGCGGAAGTTCGGCTTCAGAAGGGCGTAACCGCGATCGATGAAGTACTGATTCCAGAAAAAGTAGCGGCCTTCATCTTCGGCCCAGGGGCCGCCATGAGGATCAATAATGGTGGGATATGGGCCGTCTTCGGGTGGGCCTGGCAAGGCCAGGTAAGCAGGAATAATCTGTCCGTCACGAGCGGTATAGGTAACATGTTGGAAGTCGACATCTTTGCCCTGGCTGAATTCGCTGAGCTTGATCAGCGAGCGATCTGCGGCAGCATAGCGGTACAGCGTTTGCGAAACACCATTGCCCTGTGTTGCGATGATGAAGTGAGACAGTGATGGCGTTGTGCTCCAGATATCAACAAATTTGGGGTTGCCGAGTCTCTTTCTGACGTCAGCAACAGCGGTCTCAAGTTCTTTGTTAAACCAGGTCAGTGATGTGCCATCCTCATCATAGCCCGCATACAGAATTTGTCTGGAAGGTTGGTGGCTGTAGTAGCGGGCCACGTCAAATTGCGGGTCTTCGTACAGCGTTTCGATAATCTGACCTGTTGCAATGTCCACTCTATGTAAACCCTGGGTGTCTGCACCATTGTTGTTTGCGACGACGTAGATTGATCTGTTGTCCTTTGCAAGGGTCAGCAGGGTCGGTTGGTCGAGACCCATCAGA